TTATGGGAGGGGTTTCATGAAGCAAGTCTTTCTGGCTAGCGGCTTATCCATTGCCTCCAACTTTGTTGAACCATCTTTCTTCTTTCTTAACGGTGGTTCACTAGGAACCTTTACCACTTTCCTTGGCATCATGAAGGATAGCCAAGTTATTCCCCTTGTCCCGTGCAATGTCATCCCTAAGCTAGATTGCTGATAATATTTTAGATCTTTGCTTGCTTAACCTTATTATCGATACTGAGCAAGTTTGATTCCCTTCCGTGATGCACAGACTATTAGCGAATGACATTGGGAATGCTCTTGTTTTCTCCAAGAAGTTCATTCCTAGAAAAACTTTGTAATCATCCAAAGGAATGACAGAGAAGTCAAGAGTACCTGACCATGCCCCAATGCTGACCTTGACTCCCTTAATCATTCCATCAATTGACATCTCCACTGAGTTGATGACTTTAATGGAGCCCCCTCTAGTCATCCGCAACCTCAACTTTTTTGCTTCCTCGTTGAAGATGAAGTTATGGGAAGCACCCATATCCACCATTGTCTTGTTGGTCTTCTCTCTTATTGCCTCTCCACAAAGAGCAACCCCTTCTCTTGGGGTTTTGTCGGACCATGCATCCCGTTGAGCAGTTGAAGAGATCCCACATATGCCTCCATGCCATTTTCTCTATCATTTCCTTCTTCCTCCTTATGACTTGCAAAACGAGAGTTAAGGGTCTTCTTCTGAGGGCAATCCCTTGCCCAATAAGGTACATAACAAAGAAAGCAGCGGTTTTGATATGGTTTGTTGCTAGTCTTTTCCTTGTCCCTTGCCTTTGTTGGGGTTGATTCAAGATGTTTCTCCTCCTTATGTTTGCCCTTGTCATCCCCACTTTTGACATCACAGCTCTTCTTCATTTCAGGCTCTAGACTCCTTTGAATAATCATTCCAATTTTCAGCAACCGCAATGGCAGTGGCAAGATCTCGGCAAGATCTTGCATTCCTCGCCTTCTAAGCTCGATCTTTGCCCAATGTTGGAGTCCATCCATAAAGTTGAAGAGAGCATCCTTGTCTGACATATCGAAGATTTCAAGAACCAAACTTGTAAACTCCTTAATGTAGTCTCGAATCAGACCCTCTTGCTTAAGTCTTTGCAACCGGGCTCGAGCCTAATCCTCGGCATCGGCATTCTCAAAATAGAACTGTCTCATTAGCTCTCCCTTGAAGTCATTGAAAGTGGACAGGGGCACAAACATTTCTTTACATCTCCTTTTCTTCTTCTCCACCAAAGCATAGCGATGTCCGAGAGATAAAAAGAGGCAAATTGTATTTTTATATATTCATCAACAATCTTCATTGCCCCAAAGTATTGCTCTAGTCCCCATAGAAAGTTGTATACATCCTTTGCATTGTGAACCCCTCCAAAGCTCATTAAGTTTTTGAACTTCAGTATACATCCTTTGCATTGTAAACCCCTCCAAAGCTCATTAAGTTTTTGAACTTCAGTCCTCTTGTCTTCGAAAGTGGGATGGCTTGTGGATGCCGCTAGTGTCTTCTTGCACAACAAATTGTCTCCATGCATCTCCAAGCTAGCACGCACATCGCTCATCTCTTCCTCATAAGCTCTACGCAGCTCTTGGAGCTTCCCCAACAAATCCTCATACATCTTAGCCATATGGCTCATTAAGGTCTCCTCAAGTTGGAGCATCATACCTCTAATCGTTGAATGGATGGTGATGTATTCCTCCTCAAGTCCATCAACCCTTTATCCAAGATTCTATAATTGGCCCCCCATGACATTCATCGTCTTCTCCACCCGAGCAAGGCGCGAATCAAAGCCATGGATGATCTCCTTGGACCTCTCATGCGGTTTGGATGTGGCTGGGACACGTTGCTCCTGACAACCACGCCCTCACTGAGATGATTCCACATTAGTGGCTTTCGACTCCATCACTTGCTCTTTGATGCTCTTTGTCATTCTTTTGAATCGAGACACTGATACCAACTGTCACGGACTAACCTTTCTCTAGTCACCCATGTGGCTTTAGGACTATCATTTAGCACTAAATCAGTCTAATCCTCACAACGCTTGGACTTGTGAGCACTTGAGCACCAAGCTTGGACTTGTGAGCACTACTCACTATTAAGAAGAAGAGTAGAGAGAAAGAAACACTTCACACTTGAATACTTGAAAGCTTTGATTGAATGCTTATGTGATTACAATTAAGGGGAGGCTGCTATTTATAGCCCCCCCTCCAAGCCCAAGGGAACATTCTAGAATACAATAGATTATTCTAGTTTCTAGAACGTTCTAGTTTATTCTTGAGCCCTTCCTTCTCATATTCTCTAAAATTGGGTAGAATCTTCTAAAATCCTTTGAATTGCTCTCCACAATATGGTTTTCTCTAGAATTTTCCATCACATGTTTGTCTTGCCAACTTCTAAAATATGGCGGAGCGTAACATTAAGCTCCGTAAACAACAATAGAATGATAAAAAATCTTGTGTTCCTCTCCTAAAAATGGGTTATTACATTTCAATAAGCATATATTCCCTTCCTAATAATGGGTTATTACATTTCAGTAAGCATATATTCCCTTCCTTAACTGTGTCAGGCTACCAGCAATGCATTGTCGTTTAGTTAGTTTATTATAAAAATTATTAGATAAGATTATAGATACAGAGCTTATTAGATTATTTAAAGGCTAATTTTGAAAAAGATGAAGTACGTGGAAGTGTCAATTCATTAACAAAAACAATCAAAGATAATAGTTCTTAGGAAGACGCTTTCAAAGCACAAAATACTCTTTTAATACAAATCAACTTAGCTTCTTCCAATCCTAAAATTCCTAATTGACGTTTATTATTTCATAATTTCCACAATTTTTTTATTATGATATGATAAACAAAATAACAACCACAGGACTCTAAATTTTAAGAGAATAATTAAATTTAAATTTCTTCGATTTTGAAAAAATTGAATGATAAAATAAAATTTGCAAGTAGATGTTTTGAACACCGAATGATAAATAATGAACAGTTTATTGGATGAAACTTGAAAGCATTTAAATTTAGATTTATAAAGTTTATTTGAAAGATCATGAATTTCAAAAACCACATTCCTTCATTGTCTAAAGCAATTTTAACAATGAATTTCAAACCCACTGTTCAAATAGATGTACATTGAAATATTGTTTTTAACACTTCCTCCACTGTTTATTTTCAATGATTAGCATTAGCCACATTATGAATTTGTACAAATAACTCATTGTTTATAAAAGATACTTTTATTTTAAAGCAACCAAAAGACCTTCAAACAAAATAACTGCTATTTCAAAATCATGGAGCGCATTCCAGAATAAAGTAGCCCATAAAAGAGCAAGATTTAAAAGCTCATTAGAGGCCCTTCATCGGTTGATTACAAACATTATTCTCTATAGGGAAAGCAGCATATAACTTGCAATGCGTCATTTATCTCACTCGATCAGGACAATCCAAAATGTCACTCTAAGCAAGACCTTGTAGGCCCAAATCATGGCTGATTGGAGAGGGATTCAACCCTGATCATACGTCCAAATGAGATAGGACTAACCTAGAATTGACTTCTACTCATTATTCACCTAACTCATCTAATTTGAGTGTGCAACGTCGCCAACCATCTTACTAGGCCACCCAAACAGCACATTTGACCAGCTTGTAGCAACCATCTTCTACCTCAATTAAGTTATTAAAGAAACAAAAGGAGAAGTAGATATCAAAACACCCAATTCCATGTTCCAGGAACCTAGTATTAATGAAAAGACTCGTTATATTGGCCATGGCATCGTCTAACTAGACAACAGCTCACGTATTTCATTATGAGATTGTACATGGGAAATATTAAACTGAATAGAATTGTCCCTTGGCCCAGGCAGTTGACATAGGCTTATATAATCAACGATATTTTATTTTTTATTCCATTTATTATATAGTGTTTTCCTATTTTGCCTTTCTCGTTATGCTTTCCAAATGTTCCCTTTCCCTATCTTATTACCTTCATATTTGAACCTCTTGGAGAATTGTGGGATCATCTAAACATTGTCCCAACTCTTATCGTTCATAGAACCATGCCCAATAAATTCATCAAAGCATGCCATACATAAAGATAAATATTAAACAAAAAAACATCTTCAGTTCATTCAATTAAGGGCATAAGAACCCAAAGAAAGAACCATAATATTACATAAGAGTATAGGAACTAGGCAATTTTCACAACAGCAAATCAAATAAAATATACCATTGAACCAAAAAAAAGTCCAACACCACAAAATTCTTTACATAGCTAGCCATAACACAGAGTACAACCTAACTTATATAGAACCCATTGGCCTTGATTTAACGTAACTAAACAGAACTTTTATTCACATATTCAACTAAGTCTTAAGCTGAATTTGAGTATCGAGTCTCTCGGTCATTTGATATGTGTGAAAAGCCTCCTAAATAAGTTAGGGGTGAAAAGAGTGCAAATCAGGTTAAGATCTAATGTAGTCCTTTCCGAATCATAAATGATACAAGCAATGACCCGCTAGATCTTGACTCATGCTTGCTGAATATGTTCTGTACCACCAGAAAAAAGAAGTGACTCTGATTGGCAATGGGAACATAAGACCATCTGAGTTCGTACAAGCTACGCAGATCAAGAAAAGAACTTGCAGATCACTTCGGGAAAGAGCATGTCGCAGAATTCAAGTTAAAAACAAATGTATCCCACCGGAAAAACAGATCCAATAGGAGCTAACAGAAATATAGACGAGATTTCTTCTCCCCAAAACTATGTCAAAAGTAAACCCTATACATAAACATCACAGATAGCCACAAATAACCAGCCGTTGCATGGAAAACCGTCATACATGTCATCTCTATTACGAGGAAAGTCAACTATAATCCCTCCCATGACAAATCCAAGAAAAAATATATATAAAACGCGAGAAATTGAATGGTTGGACACGAGAAAAGATGAAACTACATTCGATGAAACAAGCTCATACCACCATAATCCGGGCGAGGACGCTTCAACGGAGTCGGCTGCGGTGGAGCCATCGGTACCTGTTGGCGTGGATCGGCGTACCCCCAGTAGGCTTCAGCCATCTCGCTACCCTTCTTCGATCTGAAGAGAAAACCTCGGAAAAAGCGTGAGGCAATTAGGGTTTCTGTTTGCCTCCGCTTCCCATCCTTTTATATGTTTTTTTTTTTTTTAGTCCGACAATTCCTTTCAAAAATTCCTTCTATTTCTTTAGTTTTTCTTTTATTTTATAATTAAAATGTATTTAATTAGTATATATCTTTATATATATTTGGCAAGTGTTCTCTCTTCTCTTATATTTTTTGTCATTATTATGTATTTTATTTATATTATATTTAATAACCAATTGGATTAATTAGTTTATAATGAAATTATTTGATTACTAATGAGATTCTCATTTTAAATAAGATTGTTTCTAATCATAACAGTTTTATTTCTAAATTTTTTAGTAAACTTTGTAAAACTTCTAACCTGCAAATTAATTTTTCTAATTCTGTTATTGTGTTTCTCTAAAAGTGTTGATAATAATCTACAAAATTTAATTTGTAGTTTATGTGGTTTTACTATTAAAGTCTTCCGTTGGGATTACTTTAGTGTCAACATCAAATCTTTAAAGTTGGTTATTACTGACAGTCACAAGCTTATTGCTAAAATTCATTTGTGGCTAGTCGGTTGGAAGAGAAAATTATTATTAGTTGTTGGTCGTTTTCAACTTATTAAATTTGCAATTTAGAGTTTCTTGCACTGTTGGTTTCATTCCCCGTTATTACCTAAAGGTTTGAGGGAGTGCAGATTTCTTCTCTATTCTCTGAATTTCTTCTTAATATAGATGACAACAAATTTTTTTACACTATTTCTCGGAACAAAATCACTCTTCCTAAGCATTTGGGCGGTTTAGGTCTCCAGCATTGGACAACATTAGTATTATGTGCAAAATCAAAGTCATATGGAAATGTTATAATTCTCGTTCTTACTTAAGTGACTGGCTTTTTAATTAGTATCGCTTTTTTCGGCATAAAGCCACAATATGTCATCTCCTTTATAAAAAAGAACATATAAGAATTGCTTCTAAGTTTAGATTTGCTATGAATTTCCATGTTACTAATGATTGTTCCATGTCATTTTACCTTGACCCTTGGTTTGAAGGTAACTATTTGGTGGAGAATTTTGGTGATTTTATTTTTAATTGGTTCAATCTTCCTCTTAATTCAAAGCTTAGGGATATAATTTGTAATAAATGTTGGAATTTTCCTTTGAATCATTCTGCTCCGATTTTCTATATTGATTTTATTAGTAAGATTTCTATTATTGATGAACTTTTTTGTTCTTAAAATAATGGCTCTGTTTTTTTCTCATAAAAATGTTTACTATTCTTTTTATGCTTTTTTTTTCTTCTTGTTAATTTGTTTAAAATGATTTGATTCAAATGTTTTCTTTAAGAAATACCATTCATACTTAGAAATTTATTATTAAAGAGCTTAAATCCTTTTATATTCTTTTTTTATGAGGCATGCATATTAATTTATCTTGTGTTTTATCTACGAATAATTTTGAAATTCATGATTATCTCTTTTTCAATGTTCTTGTTCTTATTTGCTCATTAAATAATGTTTACCTGATGGATATTTTTTATATTGCCCATAGTAATATTTTATAAGTCATTTATCATTAAAATAGTTTTCCTATAAAATATCTAGTCATTTTTATCATTGGATGTTACAAATTGTTACATATGTGATTTGGTTTGAAAACAAATATATGGTTTAGGAATAATCATAACTCTATTAATTTTAATATAAAAATATATATGATGTTTAGGAATAATCATAACTCTATTAATTTTAATATATGTTATATTCATCGGTTAATTAGTTATAAAAGTAGGATATGGAAGTTCAAAAATGGTATTTCTGATTCTATTAAATAGATTTATAATGTTTAAGCTTTATTTTTGCTTTATTAGTTGTAGTTTTTCTTTCTTTTTTTTTTCTTTAGGTTTATTGTTTTAATTTGATTATTGTGTTATATTGTTCTAGATTTTTAGTTTCTTTAATTTTACTTTTTAGGTTTTCTATTTATCATTTATATTTTTTTATTTTTCTTTGTTCCACTTTAGTTTTTCTTAGATTTTTTTTTTCAGTTTTGGTGTTTTTCGAATTTTGGTTTCTGATTTTTATTCATTCTGGCTTTTTTCTATTTTGATATTGGTTTGATATAACAGATAATATTTTTGAATTTTTTTCTTTTGTGGTTGTGTTTATATATTTGTTATGATGTGCCCATTCATTAATTAGTCACTTTTTCATTCTTTAGGAGTTATATATTGGTATTATCTTTTTCATTAAATTTAAAGGGAGAGTTAGTTTCAACCATTTAATGAAAAGGTTTTATTTACTGAGTTATTTTTTCTTCAGTCTTAGGTTGAGTTGCTTAGTATTAGTTTGGGTTTGGCTGAGCATTTGGCTTTTCTTATCTAACAACTTTATTTGTTTTGTTGTGACCTTCTTTAGCTATTTGTTGATTTTCCTTGTGTAGTTGTTCATACAGTTTTTGTTATTGTTTTATTTGTTGTCTTTTATGATCTTTGAGGAATTGTTGTGCCTTGATGTTGAGGTGGTTGTTTAATAATTTTGTTTTTGTAGTGCCTTGATGTTCATGTGGTAGTTTTAGTGTCTTTGTGAGTAAAGTATGTAGTTTTTAGTTTTGCATTCTATTCTTGTTGATGTTTCTTTTTTTCAGTGTTGCAGCTTTTTGCTCCTTAGATTGTTGTTTGGCACTTTCTGTGGGAGATGCTCTTTGTTAATGACTCGGCCAATTGAGGTAGTTGTTTAATAATTTTGTTTTCTGTAGTGCCTTGATGTTCATGTGGTAGTTTTAGTGTCTTTGTGAGTAAAGTATGTTAGTTTTTAGTTTTGCATTCAACTTTTGTTGATGTTTCTTTTTTTTTCAGTGTTGCAGCTTTTTGCTCCTTAAATTGTTTTTTGGTACTTTTTGTGGGAGATGCTCTTCGTTGATGACTCGACTAATTGAAGAAAGTTGATCTCTATTGTTGTTTGTGATTGTTCATTTTGGTCTTAGAGGGATATTACTCATAATGGTTGTTCTTAGTTCCTTCTTTTTGAAGTAGTTGTTCATTTGATATTTTTACTTGTTATCCATTGTTTAGCTTTGTCTTTTTCTAAGTCTTTTTTTTATTTTGTTCTTTTTCTTTTTTGTGTTGTTATTGTACTCTTTTATTTTGTTATTGTATTCTTTTTTGTGTTGTAATAAATCTCGGCTAGGCTCTTACTTTTCTTAAAAAAACTATACTTCTATATTTTTTAAAATTTAAAAATACTCAAAATATCTAAAAAAATTATTTTAAGCATTTTTATAAATAATTAAATATGTTATAATGTATTAATCAAATTATATTTTAAGTAAAAATATAAATAAAATTAAATTAAACAATAACAAAAAATCAATAGTGATCTCAAACAGCCTATAAGTGAACTCACATAAAATATTTTTCATATGAAAATTTTATATGCATATCACAAAATTCTCTCATATTTACATTCCAATGTCTAAAATTTAATATTTATTTTTACAAAACTTTAATGGCAAAAATTTATGCATGAAAATATATATTTTAACTTTTAAAAAATTTTGAATAGTTATATTAAATATTTATATATGGTACAAATTCATTTAATGAATTTGCATTGCATGCACCTCTCATTCATGCATGATGTATATATCATAAAAATAATAACATGAACATCCCTTCTATTAAAAAAGACTATTCATTGATTTTAAAATTTTTATCATGTAATTATCATTTACAAATTATGTGTAAATGCTATTTTACTGTATATAATCTAATAATCATAAATTATGATCATTTTCATTAATACATCTGTAACATGATCTAGACCAACAAATATAATTTTTATTCATTAATGAATTCATCTATATTCTTTAAATAGCATCTAAAAAAATAAGAGCATGTTTAAAATTATTTTTGTTAATTATTTTATTATTTAAAAAAAATATGTTTTTTTGCTACAATCTTTTATTATTTTTATTCTTTATTTTCTAAATAAATCAATTTATTTTTAAAAAAATCAAAATAAATTTTAAATAGTTTAAAAGTCTTTAAAAAATTATTGGCAGCCGATTTAATCTATCTCAATAATCACCGCTAGTGCCACCATTAGCACGACTCAACCCAATGTAACTCGTCAAGGTGAGCTTCTTGTGTCGAGGTCACAAAAATTAACACACTACCCAAGTTCTAGTCGAAATAAATTTGATTAACTTATTTTTTTGCTTTAATTTTCTTAAACACATATCCATTGAAATCATCAAAATATTAAATGATAATTTTTTTTTTCTTAAATTCATTCAAGGCATATTAAAACTATACAACAAATTGCAACATATATAAAAATCATAGTATAATATCTCTATCATCAAAATACAATCAACGTCATGACTGACAAAATATTGATCGATAGTAATAACATACAAAATATCACACACTCAACAATAACTCAAAAATCTCTACTCAACCTGAGACTTACTCTTCCCTAAAAACAACATATGCAAGTAAAGCAAGGATGAACAATCATAACTCAATTGGCCACTTAAAATCTATATATATATATATATATATATAAAATTGAAAATTGCAATCATCATGTGTAATATTCATCACAGTGTTAGTATAAGAAATCATAACCACCATAAATATATGTCAAGTAACAACCTATGTAACTTGATATCAGAAATACAGTTAAAAAACATGAAATAAAAGTTTTTTTTCTTAATTTCAAGTATATAAATCGAACATGACAAACATCATGTGTAGTATTCATCATAGTGTCGCTACAAAAAATTATAACCACAATAAATATATGTCAAGCAACAACATATGCAACATGATATCATAAATATAGTGAAAGAACATGAAATAATTTCATTTCTTTATTTGACTTATTTTATGATTTTTCCCGAGCCCCTTATACCTTCAGTTCCACTTACTCATATTTCTCATATGTCCCTTATAAATCAATTTCAACTTACACATCCATTTGTTAACATCTATTTAGGTGTACTAAATACATAGATGAATAATTACGTAAGTGAACAAGTCCTTATAAC